CCAATATCTGCTCTACCTGGTTATGTTTTGGGTGGAATTGCGTGGTTTGGTATTCCTTTTGTTATAGCTACTACGATGGGACTCGCTGCTGTTGCACTAGAAAACAATCCAATATTTCCAACTTATCCAAATCGATTAAGTGCAGCTGATGTATCAGCTGGTTTAACTTTATCAACAGCTGCAGTAGCTCTTATTGGAAAAAGTGGAGCAATAGCTACTTTGATTATGGTTTTTATGGCATGTACGAGTGCTATGTCTGCTCAACTAATTGCTGTAAGTTCCATAGTTACTTATGATATTTATAAAGCTTATTTCAATCAAACAGCAAGTGGAAAGAAATTGATTTATGTTTCTCATATGACTGTCGTTCTATTTGGTCTCGGAATGAGTATATGGTCAATTGGATTGTATTATATTGAAATCAGCATGGGATATTTGTATTCAATGATGGGTATCATTATTTCTAGTGCTGTTATTCCAGGTGCATTGACTCTTCTTTGGAATAGACAGAGTAAATGGGCTGTCTGTCTTTCTCCTCCATTAGGTTTTATTTGCTCTGTATCTGCATGGTTAGTTATGACTAAAATTCAATTTAATTCAATTAGTATTGAAACAACTGGATCAGATGTATCGATGCTTGTTGGAAATGTAGTCGCTTTACTCTCTCCGGTCGTATTCGTACCCATTATTTCGCTCATTGCACCTGATCCAACACCTTATGACTTCGTTTCAATGAGAGCAATTGAGCTAGTTGACGATGGTCCAAGAAACACTAATCATCCGTCTCTAGGAGAAACAGAACGTGGAATTGCTTTTTTGACAGGAAAATTAAAATTTGCACGTATTATAGCTGTCGTTCTCACATCGTGTCTCGTCGTTATTTGGCCTTTTCCCATGTATGGAACTGCATATGTCTTTAGTAAATCTTTCTTTACCGGTTGGGTTAGTATTGGAATTATTTGGATGTTTTTTTCATTCTGTATTGTCGGAATTTATCCAATTGTTGAAAATCGTAAGACAATTCTATTCATCTGCAAGAAAATTTATAACGATTTAACGATAAGTAGACAACACACTACCAAAGTGCAGACGAACCATACTATTTCCAATACGCAAATGAACATTTTAGCAGTATCAACTATTGACAATTCTCATAACGATATTTAATTATTTTATCTAATGAATGTATAGAAAACTGTTGTAATTTTATGAGTATTTATATAATCATTATAATAAACTATTATCGGTACTTCAATGTTTTTTTTTGAGGGCGTGGATGTGGGTATTTTATTTCATCCACACCCACACTTTAGATGTTCAATATCTCATTCGAGTCTCTTAATAGCCCAAAAATATTTCTAATCCAAGATTCGCCGCACTTATCTTTCAGTCCAATCTTAGTATGGACGTATATTCTATATTTTATCTAAGAGTGACCTGAAGAAATGTCCGTCCAATATGGGGTTCAATATATATGACGCGTCTAATCTCGGGCCCCATATACATGCCCGCTGTGCATGTGCATACACATCGGTCATTTCCTATTCTTTCTCCTCTCTTTGTTCATGTTTTCAATTTCTTTCGTGACCTCTTCGTTTTCCTATTCGTTCGTCATTATTCTTATATTCATTCTATTTAAATACAGCACGAACCAGTAGTTGTTCCATTACAATATTCATTCTAAAAATAAAATATTTTCGACAGAGATTTAATTTTTTTTCTTCATTATTATTTAAGAAAAGACTAACAAACTGAACAAATTCAATGGTTAGTTACCAGAATAAACAATACTTTAAATAATTCTTGTTAATATTTAGCCTGAACCAGAGAGTAAAAACAATATTAAACAACCTATTCATCCACAAACAGGATCGTAAGTATTATTTGATTTATTTATTCGAACTATAACTATGATTTTAGATCTGTATTTCATCGGAAAACAATACTGATTTTAATTATCATTGCCATTCTTAGTCTAACAACTATCATTGGTATTACAATAATTTCTATTTACATTACAAAGGCCGAAACAACAATTAATAAAATTACAACTACAACCGATGCGTCGACAACAAAAACAACAATAAATGGTACAGTTTTTTTTGTTATGAAAGAAAAAATAAGCTCCACACGTAACTTCCAAATCTGTAGTTTATTTACGCATCCATATTTTCTCTGATGATATTTGAAACTATATAGTCATCCAAAAAAATTATTAATTAAATACAGAAAAATCTGTTATGGAGTGAGAGTTACTATTCCCAAAACAGAACAAAAGTACTCAGTACCCGAGAAGTGTCATTTCTATAGCAGAACAACTGTGTTCTATCTTTGAAAATTTTGAGGTGTGGATATATTAGAAGACTCATCGGCACCCACACCCTTATCGATTTATTTCAAAAATTAATTATCTTTCAATAAAAATGCATTTTCTTCAAAATTTTGATTCTGAAAAATACAACTTTCAAATATTTTTCTTTTCAAAACAAAAGATTTCTTCATTTCATTTTACTTGATTTTATTCAAAAAACAGCAAAAGACTTTTTTCAATAAGGTTCTTCTCAAAACAATTTATTTTTATTTTCCAAATACAAAACTTCAAATAATTTATGTTTTTTTTTCAATAAAAGTCTTTTCCAAATTTAGCGAAAAGTCCAATAAAACATGTTTATCATCATTTTATTCAAAATAAATCTTTTCTTTTTACTTTCATGAAAAATAAGTTTTCTTCTTTTTGTTAAAATCTTTTTTTCTCATCATTTTCTAGAATCAAAATTCAGCAAATGGAAACAAAATGCAATTACGGTAGCTGGTGGAAATGGACAAGGACACAAATTAAATCAACTCAATGGCCCTCAAGGAATCTTTATTGATAAAAACAAAGATATGTTCATTGTTGATTTGGACAATCGTCGTATTGTTGAATGGAAACATAATGCAAAGGAAGGACAAATTATTGCAGGTGGAAATGAATATGGAAATCGAATGAATCAATTGAGTTATGCAACAGATGTTATCTTTGATGAACAAAATCATTCGATCATCATTGCTGATTTTAATAACAGACGAGTGATTCAATGGTTTAATCAAACTCAACAGATTCTCATTCACAAAATTGCCTGCTGGGGCTTGTCAATGGATAAATATGGATTTCTTTATGTTTCTGATTCATTGAAGAATGAAGTGAGACGATGGAAAATGGGAGAATATAACAATGAAGGAATTGTAGTGGCGGGTGGAAATGGAGAAGGAAATGAACTAAATGAACTCGATTTTCCTACTTTTATCTTTGTTGATGAAGATCAATCTGTTTATGTATCAGATACTGCCAATCATCGTGTGATGAAATGGAAAAAAGATGCAAAAGAAGGAATAATTGTGGCTGGAGGAAATGGTCAAGGAGGAAAACTTAATCAATTGTATCATCCTCAAGGTGTACTTGTTGATGATCTGGGTCAAATCTATGTGGCAGATTTTGGGAATCATCGAGTAATGCGTTGGTGTGAAGGAAAAGAAGAAGGTGAAATTGTTGCTGGTGGGAATGGAAGAGGAAATCAATTAAATCAATTGGATGGTCTCTATGGTTTATCTTTTGATAATGAAGGAAATCTTTATGTTGCTGATTATAATAACCATCGAATTCAAAAATTTGAAATAGTTTTGTGAATAAAACTTCGATTGTGCAAGAAAGAAAATTTTTTTTTTGTATTGAATAAAAGAACAAAGAAAAGTCTTGTGGGATTTTTTTTCTTGAAAATTGAAATTAATTTCATAATTTTGATTAAAAACGACAAACAAATAAACGTTAGATTCTTCATCTTTTGCTCAATTTTGTACTTTGAATTAAATTAAATAGAAATTATCCGAGAAGAAGATTTTGTGTTTGATAGAATTTCAAAATTTACAAGAACAATATTTTTTTGTAAAAAAAAGTGGTCTTTTGTCTAAAAAAACTGACACTCAAAAAAATCTTGAAAAACTAACCTCATATTCGGATTTCTCGACCTCATTTACCTTCGGTTAATCATTTTCTGATGATCATCGACAAGTTTTCTTTGACTTATAAAATGCTGCAATCTGATTGACTTGGACAAACTGACAAACTTTAAGCATTTCAAAGAGTCTATAACTCTTTCTTTCAGAAAAGAGAATAAAGAATAAAGATTTACTTTATTTCTTTATCTTTATCCTTTCTAAAATAAAGGGAAAGATTTACTTTATCTTTATCTTATAAAGTAAAGAAAAAGTAACACCCCTAGTTTTATTAGTCGAATTTTGTCATAAAAAAGAATTCCTTTTCGATTCTTTTACTACCAAGCAATGCTTTTATTATCATTGGATTATTACGTTTATAACTATAAAAATAGATAAGGATATATTCATTTCATCTATAAACTTCTATCGAAAGATATACCAATGGCAAACAGCAAGACACAATGTTTTAAATGCAACGAAGAAAAAATAACATATCCTTGTAAAGGATGTTTAAAAGAATTTTGTTTAATTCATTTAACAGAACATAAACAAATATTAAATGATGAATTAAATCATATTGCCAATAATTTTAATGAACTCAAACAAATAATTAATGAACAAAAACAAAATCTACAAACCTTTCCTTTAATAGAACAAATTAATCAATGGGAAATAAGTTCAATTAAAATAATTCAACAAAAAGCACAAGATTGTAGAAAAATTGCTATGGAATATTTACCAACATTCTTTAACAATATTGAAAAGGAATTTAATGATTTATCTAAACAAATAAAGCAAATTCATAAAGACAATGAATTTAATGAAATTAATTTAAACTATTTAAAAAATCAATTGATGACAATTTCACATGAATTAAATAATCGATCAAATATTTCTATTCAACAAGATTCACAATCATTTATTAATGAAATTTCAATTATTGTACCAAAAAGTAAGGTTTTAAGAAATAATTTCTAATAGAGTAGGGTGTGCGTGTGAGTATGGGCATCTGTAATGAGTGATATCGAAACACACACCCAAAATTAATGTTTCTTTTTATTAAAACGTTTTTTGTTTTTATTTCTTTTCTAGAACCAAAATTCAGCAAATGGAAACAAAATGCCATCACTGTGGCTGGTAGAAATGGACAAGGACAAAAATTAAATCAAGTCAATAGCCCTGAAGGAATCTTTATTGATCAAAACAAAAGTATTTTCATTGCTGATTGTAACAATCATCGTATTGTTGAATGGAAATATAATGCAAAAGAAGGACAAATCATTGCAGGTGGAAATAGACAAGGAAATCGAATGGATCAATTGAGTTGGCCTACAGATGTGATAGTTGATGAACAAAATCATTCGATTATCATTGCTGATAATGGGAACAGACGAGTGATTCAGTGGCTGAACCAAACACAACAGATTCTCATCAAGAATATTCATTGTTTTGGCCTGGTAATGGATAAATATGGATATGTTTATGTTTCTGATCATAAGAAGAATGAAGTGAGACGATGGAAATTGGGAGAATATAACAATCAAGGAATTGTAGTGGCTGGTGGAAATGGAAAAGGAGATCAACTCAGTCAACTCAATTTTCCTACTTTTATCTTTGTTGATGAAGAACAATCTGTTTATGTATCAGACAGAGACAATGATCGTGTGATGAAATGGAGAAAAGATGCAAAAGAAGGAATAATTGTGGCTGAAGGAAATGGTTATGGTGGAAATCACAATGAATTATACTTCGTTGCAGGAGTAATTGTTGATGATTTTGGTCAGATCTATGTGGCAGATTATTTGAATTTTCGAGTAATGCGTTGGTGTGAAGAAAAAGACGAAGGTGAAATTGTTGTTGGTGGAAAAGGTCAAGGGAATCAATCAAATCAAATGAATGGTCCCGTAGGTTTATCTTTTGATGATGAAGGCAATCCTTATGTTGCTGATATTTGGAATCATCGAATTGAAAAATTTGAAATAATTTTATGAATGAAATTTTGATTTTGAAAAATGGAAAGAAAGTTTTTTAAAGAATAAAAGAACGAAAGAAGTCTTTGGGGATTTTTTTCTTGAAAATAGAATTTAATTTGATAGTTTTGTTTTAAAAGTTTCAACAAATAAACGTTGAATTCTCCATCTTTTGTTGAACTTTGCCGAAGATAAGAAAAGAAAATATTTTGTACTTTGAATTGAATTAAATAGAAATTACTTGAGAAGAACATTCTGTGCTTGATAAAATTTGAAAATTATTCGAAAATGAACAGTAAAGAAATCGACATAAAATAAAATGTTTGAAATGATAAAAAATTCAAAGAATTTTGATAAACGAATTTCTCTTATTTGGTTTTTCTTAATAAAATCTTGAAAACAATTCGTTATCTTTTTTATAGAATATGATATAATCAGTTATATTAAACTATTTCAAATCTTATTAGATTAAAATGAGGGTGCGAGTATGAGGTATAAGTACGGGTCACTACAAGAAATATATATCTCAACATCGTCTATATCCTCAAATCTTTGTTGAATAATAAAGGGTATAATATTTCAAGTGATACGTAGAGTTCAGTTGATCTAATGACATTTGCTCGTGCTGGTCACTCTGTTATTTCATGATTATCAAGCAAAGTATTAATAACCGGTAGTATGAAAAATGGTAATTATTTGTTTAATTGTAAAGCGTATGATTCTTCATCCAATAAGTAGAATAGAGTTGTTCATATATGTCAACACCTCGTGTTTATCACACGGCGTCGCTATTATCGTTGGGCAAAGTATTAGTGAAATATATCATCCCTCATCCTAGACATGATATCCAGTCGTTAAACAATCAATAGCACAAACAGATATTTCATTGAGGTGATATATATTGTTTTGGATTTATATAATTTTAAGTAAAACTAAATAAATAACAACTCTCTTATTCCGAATAAATCTGCGAAAAGTTTTTGCAATCATCATGACAGTTGAACTAGAATGCAACATATATTTTATTCAACGCCGTTAAGCGTTCTCTAGATACAGAAAGTGATAACGTTTGTTTCATAATTGAATCAATGATACATAGTTTTTCAGTGATAAGATGCGATGCAAAAGCCTTCGCACAAATGTTTAAGTCTGTTAAATCATATTACCGTTCTCGAAACCAGTGAATATTTTTTTTTTGTTTTTACGATAGATTGATGACCATCAGATCCTCAATAAAAAAGTGAAATAATACTAAACGTAAAGAAAAAAAATTGGAGAACACGCTGAAATTATTTGCAACTTTTGAAAATGTTATTTTTCTTCATTTTATTTACTTTTCAATCTTTTCAATGTTGTCTCAATATGGAACATTAAAAATCCATGTGATCAAATAGAAAAAATGTTTTTTTGTTATTTTTCTTTTTCAAATCAAATGTATAGTTGAAAAAAAAACCATGAAACATACAATGTTATTGTTTTACAAAACAGTTAGAAAAAATTAACTAATACAAAAGAAATTCAAAGTGAGACCTACGAAATTCTTATTTATATCAAAGTAATTACAAAACATCACAAGTTTAGAAATTCAATTCTCTGAAATTGTTTCACTTCGGTAAGTTTGGTTTTTGAATCAATATGAAAAATGAGCAAAAAAAATAACACACAATAACTATTTTGAGAATAAGATTGATGATGAAAGTGAATATGACAATGCAGTCGGATGGATAAAAGACTGATATATCATTCGTCTAGAGGACAAAGTTGTAGGTGCAGATCTATACTTAATCTTTATCTATATTAAAACATCCTTTCATTGAATAAATATTACAAAAATCATTTGTATTTTTCTTTGAAACTAAAAATGAAATCAATTTTTAATTAGTGTTTTTATTATCATTGAGTTATAAATTTATATTCATAAAAGTAGAGAGGGTGATATTCATTTCTTCTATAAATTTATATTCAAGAACATGGCAATGGCAAGTAACAAAACACTATGTTTTAAATGTAACAAGGAAAAAATAACATTTCCTTGTAGAGGATGTTCACAAGAATTTTGTTTTACGGATTTAGCAGAACATCAACAAATATTAAATGATGAATTAAATGATATTATTAATGATTATGATCAATTTAGACAAAGAATCAATGAACAAAAACAAAATCCACAAAATCATTCATTAATAGAACAAATTAATCAATGGGAAATAAGTTCAATTGAAAAAATTCAACAAAAAGCACAAGATTGTAGAAAATCTCTTATTAAATATTCACAAAGATCTATAAAAGATATTGAAATGAAATTTAAAGATTTATCTGAACAAATGAAAGAAATTCATAGCGAAAATGAATTTAATGAAATTGATTTAAATTATTTAACAAATCAATTAAGAAAAATTACAGAAGAATTAAATAAACCATCAAGTATTTTTATTAAAGAAGGTTCACAATCATTTATTTATGAAATTTCAGTTATTTCATCTAAAAGTAAGTTTTTAAGAAATTATTTGTAAAAGAAAGATTCTGATGAAGAAGAGAAAAAACAATTGAGAATATTATTGATTCATTAATTAAATCAAGAAGAATAGTATTAATAGAAATAGAAAATAAATTTTATTCAAATTTTGGTAATTATTTTAAGAAAAAGCAAATAATTAAGGATGGAATGTAGGGTGTGCGAATGAAATCGAGTAACTGCTCCCACCCACACCTACACCCTCAAGATTATTTTAGAAATCTTTATTATATTGTTTAATTCTTCCCTTTCATCTTGTTTTATTTCGATTATTTTATTCGATTTCAGTTCAATAATTTTCTTTTATTACTCGTCTTTTACTATTTTATTTTTTCAAAGTAATAAAAAATTATTTTTATTTAAATATTTCAAATATTCAGTGATTAGTTTCATCTTATATAAATCTTTCAATTCAAATTATTTTCGTTTGTTTATTATCAAATTTATTTGTATTTTTTTATTGACAAATTGTCTAAAATATTTTTGTCTCAAATTATTATTCAATAAAAAATAAATAAACGAGAAATTTTGTTATCATTTTCAATGTCTTCTTTTCAAACAAAATATTTCTTCATTTCATTTTAAAATTTTATTAAAAAAAAACAACAAAACACTTTTTCTTTGATTTAGAAGATAAAAGACTTCGAATAATTTATGGTGTTTTTTAATAAAACTCTGCAAAATTCAACATAAAAATCAAATAAAATTTGTTTTTTCATTAAACATTTTTAACAACATTATTCATTCAAAACTGATCTTTTTTTTTCTTCGATGAAAAATAACTTTTTTTTATTAAACTGTTTTGTTTTCATCATTTTATAGAATCAAAATTTAACAAATGGAAACAAAATGCCATCACTGTCGCTGGTGGAAATGGACAAGGACTAAATCAACTCAATAGCCCTGAAGGAATTTTTATTGATAAAAACAAAAACATTTTCATTGCTGATTACTCCAATCATCGTATTGTTGAATGGAAATATAACGGAAAAGAAGGACAAATCATTGCTGGTGGAAATGAAAAAGGAAATCGAATGGATCAATTGAATTGGCCTACAGATGTAATAGTTGATGAACAAAACCATTTAATCATCATTGCTGATCGTGACAACAGACGAGTGATTCAATGGTTGAATGAAAATCAACAAATTCTCATTGAGAATATTAACTGTCGTGGCTTGTCAATGGATAAATACGGATATATTTATGTTTCTGATTATAAGAAGAATGAAGTGAGACGGTGGAAAATGGGTGAATACAACAACGAAGGAACTGTAGTGGCAGGTGGAAATGGAAAAGGAAATCAACTCAATCAACTCAATGATCCTCGTTTTATTTTTGTTGATGAAGATCAATCTATTTATGTATCAGATAACAACAATCACCGTGTAATGAGATGGAGAAAAGATGCAAGAGAAGGGATGATTGTGGCGGGAGGAAATGGTCAAGGAGAAAATCTCAATCAATTGTCTTATCCTGCAGGAGTAATTGTTGATGATTTTGGTCAAACCTATGTGGCAGATTTTGCGAATGATCGAATAATGCGTTGGTGTGAAGGAAAAGAAGAAGGTGAAGTTGTTGTTGGCGAAAGTGGTGTAGCAAATAAATCAAATCAATTGTATTGTCCTTGTGGTTTATCTTTTGATGAAGAAGGAAATCTTTATGTTGTTGATGGTGCGAATTGTCGAATTGAAAAATTTGAAATAATTTTGTGAATGAAATTTTGAATTTAAAATAAAGAAAAGAAAATTTATATTGAATAATTAATCGAGAAATAAAATAAAGTTTTATTATTGAAAATCAATGAAAAAAATCGATAAAAATCTGAAGAAAAATAAATTTTTTTGATAAAAGCACGATACTTAAGAAAAAACATCTAGGAAGAGGAATCACAATATAGAGGAGACCGCACAAAATTAAATGATGAAATCAATAGAACTGTTAAATAAGATAATTAATTTTGCTGAAATTGTGATGTATTGTATTAGATCATGTTATTCTATTCATTGGTATATCTCTTCTTGTATGTGTAACAGGGGCTATATGATGTGGTCGTCTCCGTACTACGCCTAATAATTTTTCTTTCATTGTTTTTCGTAAATCAGGAAATTGACTTAAAGATATAAATGGAAAGAGAAGGATAACGAAGTACTGAAAAAAAAAGAAATAAAGTTGAGCTTCTACTTCGTAGTCCGACTGTAAACCACATAAATGTGTAATAAGTAATATACTGCTTGGAATATTTATACCAATATTTAAAGTTGAAACTAAAAGTAGTTGAATAATCATTCGCCGTTGTTTACGCCATTGATTAGATTGACGAAGTCGTTGTCCTTGTATTTTAACACGTAAAATAAGAGCAATGCTAGCAATACCTTCTGAGAGAATCGGTGTACATAAATGTACAATAAATTCCCACATACCAAGAATACCATAAGATTCATAACATGGTGATTGACCACATACGGGAACTGTATAAAGATAGTTATTTTCGCAAGGCAAAACAAAAATAACAATCAAATAGAAAAGAAGGATGTATGTAACTAGAATAATCAAAGGAAGATAATGAAAGAGGAAACGTCCTCTTCGATTTGAAATCAATCGATCATGGAATATGAGAATATGTCGTTCGATTGCTAACCAAGTCATGAGAATAATCACACCGATTTCACAACCATAATCAGCAAACCACCAAAGAAGACATACTAATGGTTGTGATGGTTGAACAGAGCCATACGAAAAGAATATAAGATAAAAGTTAATATCTATTAATTGGATTGGCAAGCCAAAGATTAATAGGAGAAGAATTGTATGATTATGTAATGCATATCGATGGGTTCGATCTATTATAATATAAATTATAAGGAAGAAACTACAAATTATTGATGGAATATCGCATAAAAGCATCAACCAAAAACGAATGGGACGTGGAATAGATATTTCCGAACTACTGAAAGGCTGGCTGTCAGTGTCTGAGCTGTTTCCAAAAGACATTATTCAATGTAAATCATATCAATAAAACAAGAGTTTTACAACGAATAATATTGGATAATACTTTCCAAATATTATCTCTAGAAATAGACTTCTGTTAGTTTCAACCAGCTTTCTTCGTCGATAATAAATTGCTTGATTCTTGTTTGTGAATATTCATAGATGAATTAAAATGAATAAGAAAAAAAACAACGTTTTATATTTATCTCATTCTTAATGAACAATGGACAAAGATTAATATTTAATGAGATGTGAAGCAAATTAATTAGTTAGCCCTCAAGGAGTTTTTTTTTCTTTTTTAATACTTTGCGAAGTAGAAGTATTTAAGTAGTACTTCGCGAGTTTTCTTTCTTTTTTTCTTTATTATTTTCTCGACTTACGCATCCAAAGTTCTCATTTTGAATCACGGTGTCTCAGCTATGGAACATTAGAGAGTACTCGTTCAAATGGGAGATGAATAAATGTAGATCAAACTAATATTATTTGTTTCTATTATAATCGTGAATGCTACGAAATTCGTGTAAACCTTAAAATCGTAATTGTGATGTTAAGCGTCGCATCGCATTTTTGTAGTCAAATAAAATATAAATACCATCTAGTTAATCTCAGATATATCAATCTATCAAATATAAAACAACATAGAAATATGTCATGAAATGTATGTGATGTTTAATCTTCAAAACATCAACATTCCATTTTCATCTTCTTGATTATTAAAATACATGTGTTTCTAGTTTGTTCTGATCACTTTAAGAACATGTCATTTCTGTCAGTAAACGCAAGGAATATAGAAGATTACTTCTATTCCAGGTAGAAGTTTACTTTATCATGAAAGTGTTGTTTGTTTGTATTAGTGTCACTTACCCTCGAAATCGGTGGTGCGAGACATGCCAAAGTATCTTTTCACAGCACATCTTGAGGATATGATGGTAGGTGTAGCTGAAGGTTCCATCTTGAGTGCTCATTCTATATTCCCTTCGTAGAGTCAAACTCATAAATATAAAACCTTCAAGATCATTACCATCTGCAATTCTTCGTTAAAACAAGAACAAAATCATCTAATAGCTTTAGTTATGTTTTTTTAATTGAAGAAAAAGTCCATCATTATTTCAGGTTTACATGAAATTATCGAAATTCTCATTTCGATATTTTGTTGTTTCTTTTTTGCTTCGCATAATAATTATCTATCTAAAGCACACAGGCGTGTATATGGCTGGTTGTAAGAGATTAACAAGGCATTCACACCTCTAGTTTCCTATCAATAAACGAGATTCATGAATCATCATTATGGGCGAATGCGATTTTATTAGAAGTGAAAACTGTACTCTTGAATAGAAGATTTATATTAGCTTGAAAAATAAACAGAGAGTGGATGTTTCATTTGTTAACCCGCACCCTCAATCATCCTGGACTCGTTGAATAAAACAACTCATGTCAAGTATTATATTCTAAATCAATCAAACAGTATACATACATCCACAAGAATTAATGATACATCATATTTTATCAGTCATTGTTTATTCAATGATGCAATACACTAGTCTACGTTCGATAAATTGATGTGAATATTACTGCATTTCTATAATATATTAGAGCTAAACATAATTCAATTCAATTCATAGGTATTTGAAAATTAAGCTCGGTTCAATTTATTCCAATTCATCAATTCACAAAATTTTTCTCAATTCAACTCGACACAACTCATCAACTGTAAAAAGATATGTCCTATTCAATTCATTTGAATTGAGTTGCTCAGCTCTGATTCAATGATAAGATATATGAACATAAAATAATTTAGAAAAATTAATTAATATCATAATGAACTTGAAAAGAGTATTTTAATTTAATTGGCTAAATAAAATATTCTTTTGATGTTTTCATGATTATATATGTTATTTTGATTATTAGTTAAGGAAAATCTCACTTAAACAATTTTAATTATATTTTTATGTTTATTCAGTTGGCTTATATTTATAATTAAAAATAATGTAATCTTAACGTTGATTTGATATTTTTCTTTATGAAATCTTTTTATAATATATTATTGTATTATTATAAATCTATTTATTTATTTAGATATTTATAATTCAAAATTTTTCAAAAATGTGGATGTAGTGTAACACTTAAGATAGGATAAACCTACACCGCCAAGAGTGGAATCAGAAAGAAAATAAAAAAGAATGAAGACGCTACGGATGAATAATAAGATACCTATACCATCAGGTGATGTACCTGTGAGAGCAGTGGTGGCTGACATGGAGTTAGGTGTAGATATTAGTGTCAACGTAGAGTATAAAAATAAATGAGATAGAGGAAAATATTGCAGATTAAAAATAAATTAATAATGTCATCATTCTTAAAAACACAGTCGGTGAGAAAATGTATAAACCATGCGGAAAGAGAAGTGGTGCTTATCCATTAGTGTTTAGATATTATAATGATAGTTCTTTTTCTCGGTTGGATTGTCACATTTCATGATTTTTGGATAAAAAAATTTGTTTGCTGAAGCGAGATTCTCTTAGTTTGTGTCTCTCAACGATATGATAAGTCATCTGAACAAAATAGTTTCCATTCTAATTTACTATTCATTTCATTTGACAAGTATTGATGATTTTTATTTTTGTTAAAGAAAATGTAACAAATAAATTATTATTTTATGAAAAAATTGTCTTCTAATTTATTTGTTACATTTCATTAGAAAAGATCTTATCAAAAAGTGAAAGACAAGTAACCGTCGTTTAGTAATATCTTTTGTAACTATAACAAATGAGTGTGAGCGCGCGTGATAAATAGATATAATACCCACAGCTACCCTTAGAATGGCTAGTTTACTTCATTTTTTGTTAGGAGAAAATGTTCTTAGAATTAATTCATTTCTTTTCTACCTATATGAGAAGAAATGTCTGGAACAATTTTTTTATATTTTATCTTATTTCTGACTGCCATTATTTATATCCTTTTCTTTTTTGCTTTGTTTTTCTCTCGCTAGCAATTATATATATATTCTCTTTCTCGTAAAAAAGAGTCTAGGAAGAATAAATTTTTTGCTTGCTTGTCTATTCGCATTTCACTAATTAGCCCAAGAATAATAAAAGGTACCATTTTCCATAAAACTTGACCGAAGGGTGATCGAGGTCGAGGAACACGAATCGGATATTAGTTTTTAGGATCTTCTTGAGAACCATTTTGTAGTTAACGGGTGGTCTTTTAAAGAAAGTCTTTAGCTCTTGAATATCGACAATACTTAAGTGTATAAATAAGTATTATAAATAGAAATATATAGGTTGGTGCCCCATACCGTAATAGTTGATAAACTTTACTCTAAAGAAAAACTTCAAGTGAAATGATGAAACTATATAAATAAATAGTTTACTAATAGTTCAGAAACATAATTTCTACGAGAAACAGTTGAGCCAGTCCTCGAACGTGCGTTACTGGTATGGTGTGGGTGTGGCTTTAAATACCTTGATTCTACCACTAACGGAGTAAACGAAGTGTAAGTAGTGTAAGGAGATCATATACTAATCTACCACTGGCGGATTTTTACCTACCAATTATTATATGAAGGTAAGAGAATGTAGATTATCGTACGAGGATTATATGAAGATCATCCACGTTCACAGCTTCTTTAAAATCGTACGCACTGAATATCTTTTATAGGGATAAGTTATACGTCGATATAGTACAGTTGGTAAGAGCATTGTCTGTGATAGTTAAGGCTCTGCTTTTGATTCACAGTATCAATATCCATATTTGTTCATGTTATCAATTGAACTAGATAAGTGTTGTAGAAGATCTTACTCCGGTAAAAATATCAGGCGTATTACACAATTTCGCAAACATTAATCATAGGTGAGAGCTCAGTTTAATGTTGATACGTAAAACTATCAGTGAGAGAATTATTATATGATCTTTTTATATTTTTTAATAGCAATAGAATAGTGTATGAGTAAAAAAGAATCTTTATTTTATCAAAAAAAAATCAACAGATTTTCAATAGATTCGATGTGAGTGTTTCACTTGTGTCAAGCGTTTCGTCATAACTACATTGACATGCGACCCTAATATTTTGGATTTTCTATGTACATAGTATGGCCTTCCCAACGAAATATAAAAGATCAAAAGCTAAATTATAGCTCCGGACGGTCTATATGTTGGTTTGACGAGCTTCTCGTAAAGTCTCTCTTAAATATTTTACTTTACATCGCATTAAAAATAGAAAAAATAATAAAAGGAAGAAAACTTCTGAAGAGGTAAAGAAATTATTTTGTTTCACATTTCATTAAATATTAATCTTTATCCATCGTTGATTCAGAGTGAGAAAAATATAAACATTGTTTTTTTTCTTATTCCTTTGATTAGATACATTAATCTTCACAAACAACAATCAAGCAGTTTATTATTTTCTGAGACAACTGATTGAAACTAACACAACTGTAACTCTACAGAAAATAATTGCAAAGTATTATTTGATATCATTCTTTGTCAAAAATCTTCTTCTATTTATTTAATTTACATTGAAAACTTTTTTATTTTATTGAATAATGTCATTTGGAAATAGTTCAGACACTGACAGTGAGTCGTTCAATTTTCCGGAAGTATCGATTCCACGTCCAGTTCGTTTTTGGTTGATGCTTTTATTCAATATTCCATCAATAGTTTGTAGCTTCTGTCTTATTATTCATATTCTAATGAATCGAACTCAACGACATGCATTACATAATCATACCATTCTTGTCATATTAATCTTTAATTTACCCGTTCAATTAATAGATATTACTTTTTATCTTATATTCTTTTCGTATGGCTCTATTCAACCATCACAACCAATTGTATGTCTTATTTGGTGGTTCGTCGATTATGGCTGCTATGCTGGTGAACTCGTACTCATGGCTTGGTTAGCAGTCGAACGACATATTCTCATATTTCATGATCGATTGGTTTTAAATCGAAGAGGTCGTTTTCTTTTCCATTATCTTCCTTTGATTATTTTAGTCACATATCTTCTTCTCTTCTATTTGATTGTTATTTTTTTTCTACCTTGTGAAAATGACTATCTCTATACAGTTCCCGTATGTGGTGAGTCACCATGCTATGAGTCTTATGGTATTCTTGGTGTGTGGGAATCTATTGTACATACAATTATGCCAGTTCTGTTAGAAGGTATTGCTAGTATTGCTCTTATTTTACGTGTTCAAATGCAAAAACGACGACTTCGTCAATCTAATCAATGGCGTAAGCAACGACGAATGATTATTCAATTACTTTTGGTTACAGCCTTAAATATTGGTATAGATATTCCAGGCAGTATGTTACTTCTTGCACATTTATGTGGTTTACCGGCGGATTACGCGGCAGAAGCTCAGCTTTATATCTTTTTTCTTGAATACTTCGTTGTTTTTCTGTTTCCATTCATATTATTAAGTCAATTTTCAGATTTACGAAAGACAATAAAAGAGAAAATAATGGGCGTAGTACGGAGACAACCACATCATACAGCCACTGTTAAACATACAAGAAGAGATATAGCAATGAATAGATTGGCATAATTTAATATAATACATCTCTGCAAAATAAATTATTTTATTAAACAATTCTATTTATATCATCATTTACTTTTGTGCGATCTTCTCTATATTGTGATTTTCCTCCCCAATATATTTTCTCTTAAGTGTTGTGTTTTAACGTGCTTGAATAGAATTATGTTCCACGCAGTTTTATGTAGTTACTAATCTTTTCCAATAAACTAAATATGTCTAAAAACTACATTCTCTTAGAAAAAGGAATATAAAGAATAAAAGGATCTTGTTCAGATGACTTATCATATCGTTGAGAGACACAAACTAAGAGAATCTCGCTTCAGCAAACAAGTTTTTTTATCCAAAAATCATGAAACGTGATATTTAAACACTAATGGATAAGCATCACTTCTCTTTCCGCACGGTTTATACATTTTGACGGTGTGGGTGCGGGTTTCTATCTTCAATTAATTCACACCCATACCCACACACACACCCACACCCTCAAGATGGTTATTAATAGCCGTTTATAGAATAGGAGTTTATTTCTTATTTTTTCAGATTCATTGTTATTGAAAAATAAAGAATAGTTCTTTTTCTTTAAATTTAGAAACAGCAGAATTCTTACTTAAAAAAAGAATTGTTCAATCGGTTTAGTTATAAGGGTGTAGCTGTGGGTTTGGGTGTCCTTTCTTCATTCTACACCCAGCCACACCCACACCCTCGATTTATTATTTTGATTGCAGCATGTACCTAAAGCAAAACCAACAATATATGATGGAACACATAGTTAATCATGTGCCACTAGAACGTCTTATAAACAGTCAAAATGAAGGTAGTGGTCGTATTTCAATACGTGCTACCATCACAAAGTGAAAATCACCTTGAGGATGAATGTGAGTGTAAGTGTGCTGATGATGAATGAGAAGAATACTGATACTCTCATCTGCAAACACAAAATCCGCAGTAGTGACTTTCAGTAGTTATCGAAAGTTATATTTCGTCTTTAGAGTGTCTAGCTGAATTATTATCAATCGGTGATTGTTCAGTTCCTACTCATGGCTTTTCACCATGATTAGTTTTCTTCATGTCTATAGTATGTTCGGCTGTTGAATTGTCATTACAGTCACAACTTGACTGACACGTCGACGACGATATCTAATTATATAATATCCGATTCGTACTATAATAGGAGTAATAAGTTTAAATACGACTGTCAAACCACCAAAAAGACCAATAATAATCGTTATTGTATAGATTGGACTTATTTGTTCATCAAATGTATATGTGCACCAAAGAGGATCACATGTTGCATAATAATTTTCATAAACTACTTCAGTTTCCCATCTTTCAATCAGAAGATTATTGACTATAGACTGAACTGTAGTATTACGAGATGACAAAGTATCACTTAATGGATTAAATGTCATATTTGAATGTGTATACATAGACTTGAGTTGATTAATACATGTTATATTATAGAGACATTCAAGTGTTGATTGAAGAAGTGATTCAAATGGATAACATCCCACATGCAAACCAGGAATAGTTATTCCATTAAATGAAGCTTTTGAGATACAAGTTGAACTTGCACCACAAATGCAACTATTATTATTATAAGCATGTGGAACAGCCCACAGAGCAGCATATGCAAATCCCGTATCTGATGAAACAAAATGCCAATTAGAAAAAATTGATGAAACAATACCATTCCCTTGATTTATATATCGAATAAAATCCAGAGTTAATTTAAATGTTCGAGGAGTTGATAAAAGAAATCGAGAAAGAATAATGTCAGTTTGTGTTTTAATAGATTCTTGAGATTGTACTCTTTCATTAGTTATTGTATTTTGTGAAAATTCAGTTATTGCTTCATTCACTGTATCATTAGCAAGTGAACAAAGTGCTGAAAGTAATTGAAAATGTAGCAGAGCAAACTGACGATAATCATCATATGAATTTATGTATATTATGAAATGATTGAGAAAAAATAGTTCGCTTCGATGAAACTTACGATGTGTTTTTTTGCTCGATTAGTTCATGTTGTTGATGTCTTCGATCTGAATACATTTCTCTTTGGTAAATATTCGATCAATAACGTCGTCCAATATTTTTCACAGGTAAAATTATCCACTTTCGATACAGTGGTTGTATTTATACGTAGTTTCACCTTGATATAACTCAGAGCCAATTACGGCAAGAAACATATGTAAAATGTACAAGACAGAATGAAAAAAAAATGCATAAATCAGTGATCTATCATCATCATCTTTTTGCGTTGCGAACAAGCTTCAAATTTTGAAGAACTGATAATTGCGAAAAACGACTAGTCATCTCTGAGAATGAACAAGTAGGCATGACGAAATTCAACCCATGTAAACATAAAACGCAGAATAGTAGCGTTCAGCCGCAGTTCAAAATCGATTTTACCGCGTTTAAACGCGTATTTGTATACAAGCGCGTCTAAATGCAAAAAACAAAATAATTATTTTGCGTGTAGGCGCGGGTATGGGTATGGCTTGGATGTAGTTGAAAAGTCAGACACAATTGGAAGTAAGTCTTTTCATTTAGAATGACTTTTTCTTCAAATTTACTTTTCTTTTAAGTGTTTATATTATATCGATGGAATACTACTAAAAACATTCTCTTTTTCTTAGCAAATACAATAGTTCTCTCCAATCTTGAAAATAATTATTCCTCACAAATATCACTTTTATCTTCGTAAAGAGAATAAAATTTTGTGGTTGATAAATACGGACCTTAAAAGTACACTCTCTTACTGTTATTGATAAATATTTTATTGTTGGAAAATATACTAATACCACTTGAATCTTAACTTTATCGCATGATCATCTATCCGTTTTTAATTTCATTTTTATTAGATTTTTCGAAGAATAGAAATAGACAGATTAGAAGAAATGAAAGCAAGATCAAATTTCCACCTACTGATATGTGAATAGATGCAGCTGTTATATTTCAATTATATATTGGCTTAAGATATTGTCTAGGTTTTAGATATAAAAACGTATATTTTTGCATTATATTCTCTTATCCTAAAATCAACTATGAATACAATCAATATCTACCACTACGTCGTTTTCATTATTCTCAAGTAAATAATTATTGATTTTTGTCATTAATTTTGTTAACATTCATTGATTTTATATTTTAGTGTAACAGGTTTGATTTCTATTCTATTTTATATGTTTATATGTATTAGTTTATTATTTTCATAGTTCAAACTAAATCTGAAAAATGTGAGAAAACATCTCAAAATGGTCCATGTTCGACGAATAGTAAGTGAGAGAATCGGTGGATGATAGATGCAACATTTTTATCCACACACTCACGATATTTAAAACTATAAATTTCATCTATTTTAGATAAGATCAATCGTAAATGGAAGCAAAATGCCATCACTGTAGGTGGTGGACATGGAAGAGGACAACAATTAAACCAACTCAATCTCACTCAAGGAATCTTTATTGATAAAAACAAAAACATTTTCATTGCTGATTCTTGGAATGATCGTATTGTTGAATGGAAGTTCGATGCAAAGGAAGGACAAATTATTGCAGGTGGGAATGGGCAAGGATATCGAATGGATCAACTTAGTTATCCAACAGATTTCATTGTTGTTCAACAAACTCATTCGATTATCATTGCTGATTATGATAACAAACGAGTAATTCAATGGTTGAATCAAACTCAACAAATTCTTATTCAGAATATTGACTGTTCTGGCTTGGCAATGGATAAACATGGATTTCTTTATGTTTCTGGTGGCTACAAGAATGAAGTGAGACGATGGAAAATGGGTGAATATAACAACGAAGGAATCGTAGTGGCAGGCGCAAACGGTGAAGGAGATCAACTCAATCAATTCCACTATCCTACTTTTATCTTTGTTGATGAAGATCAATCTGTTTATATAACAGATCAAGACAATCATCGTGTAATGAAATGGAGAAAAGATGCAAAAGAAGGAATAGTTGTGGCTGGAGGAAATGGTAAAGGAGAAGATCTTAATCAGTTGTCTCATCCTGGAGGAGTAACTGTTGATGATTTGGGTGAAATCTATGTGGCAGATTGTTGGAATCATCGAGTAATGCGTTGGTGTGAAGGAAAAGAAGAAGGTGAAGTTATTGTTGGTGGATATGGTAAAGGAAGTCAATTAAATCAATTGTATTATCCCCGTGGTTTATCTTTTGATGATAAAGGAAATCTTTATGTTGCTGATCAGAGAAATGATCGAATTGAAAAATTTGAAAGACTGTTCTGAGTGAAATTTTGATTTTAAAATAAAGAAAAATAAAGTTTTATTGTTGAAGATCAATGAAAAAAGTCGAATTTTGGGTGTGAGTGTCTCTTCTCTTAGCTCACATCTATATCCACACTCTCAAGCTTACTTTCTACCCATGATACTTTTGAGAAACCACACGATTAATAACTAATATCTGCGCCAGACTAAATAGCACTCGGTTGTAAACTGGATGACTCGAGAATGAATAGGTCGAATTTATGTCCCAAAAATAAAAGACACTTTTGTCGTTCTAATCTTTATACAGCATTGATTGTACGGTATTTTCATTTGCTCGGTTCTTTTTAAGATGACAAAACAAAAAAGTTTATCTGGGATGAGTAAAAAGAAATTTTCCTCTTCAAGGAAAGAACAAAAACAAAGCGGTACAGAGTTCAGAGTTCACTAATAGATCATTCAAGACTATTTCTTCTAGTCAAGATCCATAATCCATCTTGAAAGGAGTGATAGAACGATAAAACTGACACTCAATGACAGTGAGTGACTGGTATTTCTTCAATCACCAATGATTGAATTTTGTGAGTTGGAGATTTTCAATTCAGTATTTATTGCGATAGAAACATTACAAGTGAGGTGATCAATGGAATTTTATTGAAATGTTAGACCTGTATTCCAATGTGTTGTAGTACGTGCCTGTTGAATGATAGAAAAAGATTCTTTATAATAGACGCGAATAGTCTTATAATTGTCTAAATTCTCATATATTAGTCCCAAATTGTGCTAGCTCTAGGTAAAAAGTAGATTCTAGGGCAATTCGTCGCTTAATGATCAATGTGACTAATTGTCCGCGACGAATTGTCTTGTGACTAATTAGCAAAGGTTATTTTTACAATAAGAAAAGTGCAAATCATCAAATGGATCTATTGAATCGTTTTATATATAAATTTGAAAAGATTTTATAAATAAAGCAGACATACTCAGACTAAATTATTGTTGAAAATATGTTTATATTTCAACTTTTTTGTGTGAAAATCGACAAGTCTTGTTTACTTTTTGATAAATTCAAAAGCTAATAAAATTATACTATTAAGCAATATATGTGCACACACATTAGAAACATTTTCTGATTCGTTCTTTCTCTTATTATGAGAACAATGAATAGAGAAAAGAATAGAAAAAAGAAAAATATTTTTAATATTCTCTTTCGAAAATGTGCTCGTTCTCCATTCTATATATTCATTTGTATTCTTCTTCTCATTCTGTGCAAGTGACGAAACTACCCACTCGTCCAACTCATCGTCTTTTCAAAGTAAGAATAAATATATACATATGCGCGCACACTGATATAGTTGAGCAAGACTGGATATGCATGAGATATTTATGTAATAGTGAAACTCTTTCTTTTTATTTGTGCAAGCGAACTGTACTGCTGAGAAGCGCGCTTACTGGTGAAAAATATGTGAATCACGTGCTAGCCACTTAAGAATATAAATGATAACGAGCAGAGGGAAGAATAAGAACGAGACAAATGAGAATACAAAAGAGTGAAAATATGTAAAAAAAGAACAATAAAATAGTACATTTATCATGTGGACAGGACTGAAAAGAGAGAAGAATGAAAGAGTAGTATGAGCACGCGAATTTCTATTAGCAGTAAAATTTCAAGAGTTAAGTTGGGTCGACCTTAAAAGGCACTAGTTTATTTTATTTTCATATATTTTAAAAATTCGATAATCGAGTAGACGAGATTTTCGCTGTCCAATTATAATGAGTATCTATTGAGCGTTGTAACGATGCTTACGGGTGACTCGTCAATTGAAATCAGTTGAATATATAATCCATGATAATATACCACTTGAAAAAATACGTATATCTAATCTCCAGTTTATTTTTTGGTAATCTTTAAATAAATTTCAAAGTTGAAAGTTCTTCATACGACAGATGCAATAAATAGAACTTTTTTTAACTTTTCATTAGTGTTTATACTGTAATATAAAAAATATTTCTGTATCGTCATAGACATGCCTACAGACTGAGTACTCAATGTAATAATATCAACTTATACGTGCCGGCTCTCTTCGAAGTAAAACAGTTCGGAGAGAATTTTCGAGCATTACGTATTTGTTCAGCGATTGAAATCTCATCTTAATGGGACAGCCATTCTAACAGATTTCGTACTTCTGATTTTGTCTTTTTGAACATATACAGATAATGATGAAAGAACATGTATAAATGATCTATCAATTAAAAAGTAGAACTGATACACTGAGTTTCCAATTCATAGTTAGATGTTTTTAGAGAAATCTCATTAGAAAATTCTCTGCAGATACATTGGTTCTAGATAAAGCGATCCAGAAAGAAAAATTCGACGAATCGAATTTTGATCCCCATTTTGTCGACATTCGTTTTCTTTTATGTTGCAGATTATTTAATCAACATGACTACCGAGCAAGTCTCGACATCGTTTCAACTGATCGACGGTCTTCACGCGCCAAGTTACTACGATGTTAATAAATTTCGTTCAGGTCTTGAATACAAAGCTCAACCCGATGATATATTCATTGTAACGTATCCAAAATCGGGCACGACTTGGATGGAAGTAATAGTATTCAGTTTAATCAACAATGGAAAACCATTCGATGAGGACAATAATGACTATTTGATGCGAACACCATATTTGGAGCGAGTAGGTGAATCTACTGTCAGTACAATATCACGACCATATTCGATCAAAACCCATTTGCCATTTGATCGTATTCCTTACCATTCACAAGCAAAGTATATTTGTGTTATTCGAAATCCAAAAGAGGTCTGTATCTCACTTTATCAATTTTTGGTCAAACATCAACAATCACATTATTATCAGTGCGAATTCGATACGTTTTTCGATGACTTCATGAAAGGCCAATTACCGTACGGTGATTATTATCAATATTTACGTTCGATGTGGTCGTACAAAGAACATGAGAATGTATTAATAATCTCTCATGAACAGATGCAACGAGATATACGTTGCGTCATTCAACGAATAGCTCAATTTCTCAATATTAACTTGACCGATCAGGATGGATTATTAGACCGTGTATTGACCTTCTCTTCGTATGAATATATGAAGAAAAACTTTGACAAAGTCCGTAAGAATTACTCAACACGTACGATGGATAATGCAATAACAGCCGGAGTTTCATCTACAAATGTTCGAAATGGAACTGTTAACGATCGGAAATCATGCATGAGTGATGAACAGAGCCAACAATTTGACAAAGATATGGCTGAGAAAATGCAGGATATGCCAGAATTCGAAATACTCTGTCGCTGAAAGGTGACAATGATTATGAAATCGACAAATATAGTCTATTTCACTTTCTTGTTGGAATTTATGATTTAATAAATTCAAAAAAATTCAAACCCAAGTCATTGTCTAGATGAGTTGGTATAACTCTATCTTTTTCAGAGCATGCACCATTTTATTTATCAATATGGAGATACATTCAGATCATAATTTTTTCTTATGTTCTCAAATGTGATTAGGGACAGTACATTGGCTTAATTCAATGTTAAGTTAATCTATTTATAACCTGCGAAAGAACATATTTAGGTGTTCAAGTCGTTTTCATGCCATATTTCAACGAAGTATGAGAAATTTTTTTTACGATGAACAATATAATTTAAAAAAAATAACATTCGTAATATCTTCAAACGATAAACAAAAAAATCTTTAAATAAAATTGAATTTATGCGAGTGTGGGTGCTGTGTTCTTATTTTACCCATCCTCAAGAAATATACCGAGAATGTTGTTCCAGTGGAGATATCTCTTCTGTTTGAACATCTGTGCTTGCCATGACGATTTGATAAAAATTACTTCAACGATTTGATTTTTCAATGGAAGTTTGTCCCCTGTTTTTTATTTTGCTTTTGGTAGTTGTTAGTGTGTGCACGATGCAAAAGGAACAAAATGAAGAATAGAGGGGGTTCTTTCGTTCTGTTGGGTAACGCTAACAGAACGATAGAAAAAAGAACGACTCACTCGCACGCACGCGAGAAAAAATATTCGATCCTTCCAAAGCAAGTTACACCATCACTAACGTTTTTTTTGTATGTTTTTTCTTTATTGTACCACCAAGAATATATACAGTAAGTCATAAATATCTTTACGATAAAAAATTTGAATATCTCTATTACGGCTCGAGCTTTTTTAAGTATCACTATTGACCAAAACAAAAAGAATTTCCTTCTTCACAAATTGAAAAAAAACAATATACTTAACAAACAGTCTTTATAATTATAAACCTAGAGTATACCTCTATCATTGATAAAAATAATCAGCTCATTTGCTCGAGCCGTAATGAATACTCGCATTTTTTTATCGTAAAGATATTTATGACTCACTCTGCACTTCATTTTACATATCATAGAACAACAGGATGCTTCGAACTGTACCTGACTGGACTATATTCGTCTTTGGTTTACTGGCTATCTTAGTAGGTCTACTTGGTTTAATAAGCCCTGAAACAATTTTAAACCTAATGAACTTTATTGTTCTTGATCGATCAACGCGTCAAAATGGTGATTATACTATAGCATTTCTACTTTGCTCATCGATGGCTTCACTTAATATGGGTATTTATTATTTACTAGCAGCATGGAATCAGTGGACAAAATTCTATCAATTTACTGTTGTTTTTCGATTAGTAACAGTTACTGTGTTCATTTTGGCTATTAAGAATGGTCATGCACCAGGAGGTTTTATTGGTGTGGCGATCTGGGAGTTGATAGGAGCATTAACAACAGGAGCTGCTCTATGGTATGAAGCAACTATTAGAAGAAATAAGATAAAACAAACATTATAAATACTTGAGGGTGTGGGTGAGGGTGAGGGTGTGGGTGTGGGTGTGAGTGTGTTATATGCCACAAATAATATGCACACACACACCACACCCACACCCACACCCACACACCACACTCACATCAACGCCCACACCCACACCCACACCCACACCCACACCCACACCCTCAAGATATTGTGTATTGCTATAGAATAGATAAATATTGTTGTGTACTCAAAAAGTGAGTACACTACTAGAATCGGTCAGCGTGTCCGTCCGGCCGTTTACACGATAACTTTCGAAAGGAGAGGCAGATTTTGATGAAACTTTCTACACAACTCCGTCTCATCAAGATCTTGATCGAGTTCAAAGATGAGCCTAATTGGCCCGGCCATTCTCGAGTTATTGCAAAAATACTGATATTTCCGTACAGAGACAGGATACTTAGTAAAAAACTTGGTAATTTATGAGTTTTGTACTTGAAGATCTCAAGTACAAGTAACAGTTTTTCCACAATATGTCTTGTTTTTTTTGTCAAGACTATCATGTGTTTTATAAAATTATACACATCATAAGAACATGAAATATATCTACTCAGTTGTACAAATAATGATCTATCTTTTATCGATCATGGCTCTTTTTTAATAGCTGTCATACAATATGACTCCGAGATATTATCGCAACTCATATATTATTTGGTGAATGGTTAAATAATTTGATTACATATAAAAATATTTTATAATTCAGTTCACAAAAGAAAATGTCATTCTGTCTATATCGATTAATAAAGCTCAGCACTATTGAGATAACCACCGCTGTTGCTTCCACCAGTAAGTAATACTTCTCTATTTGCTAATGTGGATGCTGTGTGAAGTTCTCGTGCGACATTCATGCTTCTTGTAGTTGTCCAAGTGCCTGTTGATGGATGGTATAATTCAGCACTATTGAGAAAACTAGCACCGTCGTATCCACCAGTAACTAATACTGATCCATATGATAATGTAGATTCTGTATGATAACATCTTGCGACACTCATGTTTCCTGTAGTTGTCCAAGTGCCTGTCGATGGATTATACAATTCAGCACTATTGAGACAACCACCGTTGCCCGATCCACCAACAACTAATACTGATCCACTTGCTAATGTAGATGCTGTGTGAACATATCGTGCAATACTCATGTTTCCTGTAGTTGTCCAAGTGCCTGTTGATGGATTGTACAATTCAGCACTGTTAAGATAACCATTACTGTTGTCTCCACCAGTAAATAATACTAATCCATTTGCTAATGTGGACGCTGTGTGCCAGGCTCGTGCGAAACTCATGCTTCCTGTGATTGTCCAAGTGCCTGTTGATGGATTGTACAATTCAGCACTATTGAGATAACTAGTACCGTTGTATCCACCAGCAACTAATACTGATCCATTTGCTAATGTGGATGCTATATGAGCTGCTCGTATGACATTCATATCTTGTGTATTTGTCCAAGTGCCTGTTGATGGATTATACAATTCAGCACTAATAAGATCACCACCGGAGTTCTGTCCACCAGTAACTAATACTGATCCATTTACTAATACGGATGCTGTGTGAATATATCGTACGGTACCCATGTTTCCTGTGGTTGTCCAAGTGCCTGTTGATGGATTGTATAATTCAGCACTATTGAGATAACCACCGTTGCCCGATCCACCAACAACTAATACTGATCCATTTACTAATGTAGATGCTGTGTGCCAATATCGTCCGATACTCATGTTTCCTGTCGTTGTCCATTCTAGAAAAGGCGGAAAAGTGAGAAAAAAAATATTGTTCTTAAAATGGTCTCGAATCAATCATGTGCATAAGTTGTCTCTCTATTAATGACAAATTAAATAATTTCAAGTCTTCAATAAACTTCTCTTTGTTTTCATGATTCAGATAAGATTCATTATGAAATGTTAAACTAAATTAATGAGAAATATGTTATAAACGATTTCACTGGTGTTTTTTGAATTCTATCAACGTCTCGAACTGAAAAAAACTCGATCTACATTGTTCAACATAGTAGAAACAAGATGTGGTTTTTTACTAAGGTATTTTCAAAGTAGATTTTGAAAAAATAAATCTCAAAAGAGATCGTTTGATTCAAGAAGCATTTAAGTTGTCTCAACTCTCGATAACTTGTTATTATTTTTCAAGCAAAAAACAACTTTTTCTCTCTCACAGATATATTTTCTTCTACATCTCTTCTATTTTTATACTTACCAGGTTGAAAACGTGTTCCACTAATGATATTCATAGTAGTAGCATCGACATCAGTCAACATATTTCCATTTTGATTCAACATATCACCAAATAATTCACAATTAGATGTTGATCCATGAAAAGTTGCTGCTCTGCAATGACTTTGAGTTAAACAGACTATTTGACAATTTCTAATGTTTGACGTAATAAAACTAATGAATGGTAAACACGTTGTATTGGTACATTGAAATTTAGAATCAGATGTTAAAGACATTATTATTGACTGTGTATCTTCTCCGACTACTTCTGTAATAATCATGAATAAAAGCCATAAGCAAACTCTTGTTGATGCCATCGCCAATCAGACTGCAAGTTGATGAAATGACTTTAGCTCGTAATAGAAGAGAAACTGACTGTTGAGCAATTAATTCTATTTTTTTTGTTTCTTTCTCTCTTTTTTCTCAATTCATCCCATCATTGCAGTAAAAAAACAATCTTTCTTTTTGTTATTCTTCTATTTTTGATTGATTACAATTTGCAATTCAATAGATAATCGTATTTTCCTTCATGAATGTGAAAATGATCCAAACGCATTTTTTTCTCAATAAGAGACATTCATATAGAAAATATTGCCTTTTTTAAGTAGTTACTTAATTTGACTTCAAATACAAATGAAAAACAAATTTCTAAACCAAAATTTATAGTTCGAATTCGAAGACGCTTATGTTGGTTTAGAAAAAAAGGAAAAATAAAAAGTTGACCTAAATTTAATTTATAATTGAGAAACGTAGGCACCGATATTAGTTTAGAAAAAAAAAGGAAAAGAAAAAATCTACCTGAACTATAATTTATAATTGTCACACGAAGTCACTTATGTTAGTTTAGGAAAATAGAAGAAAAAAAACGTTTACCTAAACTATAATTTATGACTGAATGACGAAGGCACTTATGTTAATTTAGAAAAAGAAACAAAAGAAACGTTTATCTAAATTATATTTTATAATTGAAATACGAAGGCACTTATGCTAGTTTGATGGTGGGTGTGAGTGTTAGTCAGTCTAAATATTTCATTTCACCCACACCTTCTATGAGAACGAGAACTTCAAATTCAAACATTAGATACAATGAATCCAGTATTATTAAATTCTATTTTCGATATTACAATCTTTCGAAAAGTTTTAATACAAAATTGAGTGAAGTTAAACAATTACAGTAGCATATTCATTATGAAATTTATGATCATAATTCAACATACAAGAAATAAATATAAATTAACTTTAAATATACTTGAATATGAATATTTATTTAGTTTTACCGTACCAAAAGTAATGACATATAATTCACAGTATTATTTCAGAAATGTTGATATGATGTGTTAATGGATTACTAACATAAAAATAATTTAATTTATTCATAAAATTGTTAGATTTATTCAAAAAACTACCAATTAATAATGCATGAAAAATCGATTTATTATATTCTGCCAAATATCGAAAGATTTAAATATCACCATATGTAAAGAATTTTAGAATATGGAACATTTGATTATGATACTGGAAATGACAAATAAAAAAAATAACCTAACTTTAGTCTTGTTTTATGATTAAATAATTAACATATACAAATAAAGATTTTTTAAAGTATGAATATTCTTCATCTACTGATGATTAGATATGGAATACAGATATGAATTTGATGTGCTTGAAATTTAACAATAGAAACTTCTATATTTAAGATCCTGAATTACTAATTAATTATTCGCTGAATGTTCTTCTAATAAAATCGATGCACTTTGGTCACATATGCTTTATCTTCCTCTGATTAGCACTATAATAACTATTGAGTAACTCATATATCGATGTAGTTCATAATAAAAAACTACTCGATTATGTATGACACCTATCGAAAATAATCCTCGCGTATTATCGAGTGAATTCAAATATAGACTATTCATGTCACACGTGAGTTTGTTCTAGACCATTTTTTATCCATTTACAACGTTACAAAGTTATATTCATATCTTCTTTTCATATACACAGTAAAAAATAATTATGATGGTAAAAATAAAATTTGAATTCTTACCAAATGAAATATTATTTCAATGTTTTCAATATCTCAATGCACCAGATCTATTTCATTCATTTAATCAATTAAATTCTCATTTTTCTACACTTATTCGAAATATTCCATTATATTTAAATTTTTTTCAAATGAAAAAATCCTTATTTCATCATTTTTGTCAAATTATTCTATTAAATTCTGAAATAAAACAAAAAATTATCTATTTACAATTATCAAATGATGCAACACATGGTCAAATTGAACATTTTCTTTCATTATTTTCATTAAATACATTTCTTAATCTTCGATCATTATTATTAATTGATTTAAACGAAAATAATATTAAACAAGTATTATCAATATTACCATTTCTATCTAATTTATATTCTTTTTCTTTTACCGGTACAAATATTGAAACATTAGAAATAATATCAAAATCAAAATTACGAATGTTAACAGTGCGTTATTTGGAATTTGAATCAGCATCAATTAATCAAACAACAATAATAGGAATAACATCATTAACGATAACTGATTCTCAGTTGGATAATTTTAAGTTATTTAAATTATTTGGATATTCGAACATTAGAAAATTCCGAGATGAATAAATACAATGAATTGAAAACAAATGCTAATTATTTAAAAGAATTAATTATAAATGATTGTGAAGCTACATTTGAAAATCTTGAATTATTATTAAAATATACACCGAACTTAAAAATATTCTCAATATTTATTATAAGTGATATGAATATGTTTGATGGTATTCGTTGGCAAAAACTTATTGAATCTTTATTAAAACATTCAATTATTTTCAAATTCTATTTTCAAGATGAGAAATTCGAAAAACCAATGGAAAAATTGAATAAATTTCAACGATTTCAAAATGATTTTTACCATAAACAACATGAATGGTATACGAATTTAGAAATTTATACTCGTACTTCAACAATTTATACAATTCCACATGAAAGAAAGAATTATGAATTAACATTTAATACAAATAAACATGGTTATTTATGGATGAAAAATTCCAATGTATTTGATAATGTTAAAACATTAACTTTAACAATAAAACTAATTGCAAACAATGCGGAATATTATTTCAAAAATGTTGAATCATTAATATTAAGATGTTACTCATATGAAAACTTTTATGAGAATGATGATAAATCGGATTTAAACTCAACAAAAATCGAATTACTTCGTACAATTGTTAATCTATCAAATATCAAACATTTAACAATTGATAATGATATTTACTTAACTTCGTCATTATTCCCATATTTATTAAAACAATTACCGAATGTTTCATCACTAAAAATCGATGAAGATCAGTTGATGAAGATTTTCGATAATATTGAATTATGTGAATATTTAAATAAAAATATTAAAAAATTAGAAATTTTTTCTGCTCAATTCTTCGATAAAAGAATTTTTTTAAATAAAATTAATATATTATTTTCTCAAGTATTTCCAAATATCGAACAATTTACATGTGATTATATGAAACGGATTGATGATTTATTGGTAATATTAAAACAATGTTCAAAATTATCAATAATAAAGTGTGAAGGGATTAGTAAATCTGTAAATTCGTGGATTGAAATTAATGCATCAAGATTAGATGTGTATCTGGATTTTGAATCCGTTAATGAAGATAACGACGATGATGAATATGACTATGATGATGAAGATGAATATGATTATGATGATGATGAAGAACAAATAAAACGAAGTTTATTAAATAGAGATTTAATCTAATTTTTTTATAAATAAATTGATGAAGAAATATTATCTCTTTTGTAATATTGAAAATATTCAATTGAATTATCACTCACAATAATATTGTAGATACTATTTGTTTGATTTTCTCATAGTTTCTATCAACAAAATTTAATATAAGAATTGATACATTGTATAATAACAGTAGCAAATAAAGAATAAACAATATCCTTATTGAAGATAAACAAGATCATAAATTCTATTCATCACTTATTTATATTCATCTTCTAAATCAATATCTTTTAAAAACACTCATAAAATATATAATCATCTTTGATTCTATTCTTTTCATATGTTCATAAGTTAAGATTCTTTCTCCATACATTAAAAAATGATGAAAACATTTCAAACAAATAATCATCTCTCTTTTTCAATAAATCATTTATGTATCTGTCTTTGTTGTTTACATTGTCTTTTTTAGATTTTAGTTATACATACTATCATTATATTCATTTCTCAATATTAGTGATAATTCTTTACACAATTACAAAAATAAGCTCATAACAGATTAATGTTAATTATCAGAAAATCATTTCTTGTTCTTATTTCATAATATAAACTCTCACTTCATTAATACCAAGTATTCGATCGATTTCAACTCATTAATAACATCATCTCATCAATTATAACTGAACCCAATGAACAATTGTTTCTTTAAGACTAAAATTTTGCTATTTCTAAATTTTAAGATAAAGAAATATTCTTTATTTTTCCATGACAATGAATTTTAAAAAAATAAGAAATGAACTCCTTTTCTGAAAACTACTATTAATAACATTAACTAAATTAGTATCATATCTGATCATTTTATCTAAAATATTTTTTAATTTGGGTAAGAGAAATGCGTTTCAAAAAATAACAGTCACATGAAAAATAAGAACATAAAGTAATGAAAAGAGTATTAAAATAATAACTGAATCTCTTATTTATGTTCGCAGACTTGTGCGTAATGAATGAATCCCTATAAAGAAATTATCAATTAAACATGAATCTATTTCAAAGATGCTTTTTTTTACTTTTGTTGATCAAAACAAGATCAAATAACTGATAATATTTTAAATTTCGATCGAAGAAATGCCATGATTTTAGTTGTGATGAAATAAAAAAAGAAAACAGTCGTTGATAAAAACAAAAATGCATCATGAAATAAAATGTTGATGAAATGAAAATCATAGATACTTAAGAGTCTTTCTGCGACAAACGTTTACAAAGAAAACATTTCAATGCATTTAAATGCATAAATAATTCAAAATACAAGGAATGTATTTTAGATGCCAAGGACACAAACAAGTGTTGAGAGAAACAGTTTTATGTTCTTTCAACTAAAAGAGTTATGTGGAAGAAAAGGAAAAAAAGAGTAAACAAAAATCACTCATTACTGCGCCATACTTTATTTTCTCATTCATCACACAAAAAGTAATGCGATCTATCACTGTCTTGTTTTTCATCATATCTTTTTCATCTGTAAAAGGTTTGTTACATTATCTTTTTTTATTTCACTCTGTCACAACATGAATAATTGTATAGGACAAACTACACAATTACCTAATTATTCTTGTAGTGAAAATA